CTTGGTAGCATTCGGTGCAGCATTTCATCCCCGTTTCAAAGGTTATGAAGCCGTTGCAGCACGATTGAAGAACTTTAGGAAAATTACCAATATCTGTGACCCATGCTTCTTGTCATGGTCAAGTTCTACAATTTTTTTCTAAATTTTTATATCACTCCTGCAAAGGAGTCCAAGTAACGCGTGGATAGAGAATCCTAAGGGATACAAACCAAATTTCATTTTTTGCACAACTCCTCAGAATTTTTCAATAAAATTTCCATATTCGGTCAATTCAAACCCCGTAGAACATCAAAGGAGAGCAGCTCGGATGCTTTTTGATGCAGCTTTTTCTCCTATTTCTAACAGATGTTTTTTGTTTCCGATTTGTTCAGTCTTCGGGGATAAAATCATCGTAACCCATGTCGGAAAACTCCAAATTTGATATTTCGAATCTGTAAACTCTCATTTGCTTTGAAAATCGATATTAAGTCATATACTATCTTGGAAGTTTCAAATTCCGAATGATTACCGGTGTTTGATGCGATTGTGGCTGACGTAGGCCTGCCAAAATCCAGTGGTTTTGTCAAAAAAAATCTTCTAAAAGATTACAGCGAGATATGTTTTAGAGAAAAAGTTGCGCTGCATCCTATCATGTTTGCTTTATCTAATCGTCGCTTGAACTTCTTTCAAGGGTTGATATGAAGTTTTGAAAAATTGTGAAACTAGACTATCACAAAAAGAATGGATTGCAGATTAATATTTTCCGTAAGGTCATTGATTGCGCTGCAACAATGTCAGACTATTAGAAAGAGGATGAAATGTTGCATCGAATGCTACCAAGATCCCATAGAAATCTTTGTTCCATTACATGTGGCGTCAATTTGAAAAAAGCGAAATTACTTTCGGAATGACCTAATATACAGGGTGTCCCAAAAAAATGTATCGAACGTTTGATCGTTAATATCTCTCTTCTGAATAAGTCTTTTCCCTTGCTTCAGGTATCAGTCTGTGGAGCTTGCTTCGTCTTAGATTTGCACTTTAGAACGAATCACTTATCTCTTTTCATTACTGTAGGACCACGGTAGAAACTTCAAAGAGGGTTTTGAGCAATGAAAGGCCATATTTTGCCTCAGAAAGGAAACAAAACAGCCTGAAAACTTTTACACTAGGCTATTAGAGTTGCTGATTATAAGTGTAAAGTTCCCAACTTATTATGGTGCTTCATTGAAGAGTTATGCCAGGTAAGAGGTAGCGGCCATTTTTCAATGTTCCTAAAAAGTGCGGTTACACCGTTTAGAAGGCTTCGTAGTCTCGTGAATAGTTGAGTATTAAACTCAGCGTCCATAAAAACCCTATTACACAAGTTTTTACATTTTTTTGAAAATTTTTGAAAAGGCAGCTTTTTCCACATTGACACCATATGTTTCAAGTTTCTACCGTAATCCTACAGTAATGAAGAGAGATGGGTGATTAGATCCATAATGCAAATCTAAGTTAAAGCCAGCTCTATAAAAGGTGCTTGAAGCAAGGCAAAAGACTTCTTGGGAAGAGAGATATTAACGATCAAACGTTCGATACATTTTTTTTGGGACACCCTGTATATCAGGTTGTTCTGAATGTTTTATCCGTTTTCTCTTCGCTCATTATAACTCACAAAACACCAATTTATGAATTCTTACAGCTATATTCGCTCTCTGTTCTACCCTGTCTTTGCAATGTTGTCGCCATGGCTTTTTGAGCAGCTTAGCAGGTAACGCCAAATCTTCCATGAATTTCGAAAATTCTTATCCTGATCTTTCAAAGTGCGCTGATAATTGTTATGGAGAGCAAACCTTTGGCTACAGCAACCCATTTTAGGTCACATTGTACACGTTTACCAAGTCCGTTATAAATATTTATTTGCAAAAACCGCGGTTTTTTACCACGTAAAAGTACCGAATATTCCAAAAAGCAGCAAATCAAACTTGGTCATTTTGCATAAATAATGTTTAATCAAGTTTCAATCCGCAGAAGACTTCAGAAGCTTTCGTGTGTTTGCTGCAGTTGGGTGTTTCATATCTCTGCCAAAAATCGAGACCTCTAAAGAAAATTTTTTTCAGAACTTAGCATATCAAGAAAATCTAAAATCATCACCGCATAGTCCGAGAACTGCTCTATTTTTATACTTTATCCCTTTCCGTGACTTTTCATGAATCTTGACAATTCTTATCCTGATGTTTTCAAAGTTTGTTTATTTTACTATATTTGTTTTGCTTTATCCCTTTCCGTGACTTTTCATGAATCTTGACAATTCTTATCCTGATGTTTTCAAAGTTTGTTTATTTTACTATATTTGTTTTGCTTTATCCCTTTCCGTAACTTCTAGAACGAAATTTTCAATATTAGCTTAACTATGAGCAGATAAATTTGACGGATGGAAGTCGGAAAATGTGTCCATAAGAAAGCGAAGGAAAAACTGCGTCGAATGCAAATTGAAACTCATTCAGGTCTTTATTGTGCGTGGTTTTATGATGGTTTGAAAAAACCGACAAAACTTTTGAGACGCCCCAATATTTTTTGAAAGTGGAGGAAAATACTGTTTTGAACACACCATCCTTGTTGACGTTGCTGTTTATCTACGAAAGTTTTAATTTCTTCTCCTGAAACGTGAATACCTGTGAATATTCTTCCTTCCTTCCGATACACAAATTATTTTCGTTTAGAGGTATTTTTTCACCATTCTTGGATTCTTTTTCAACAAAACATTGACATTCTCTTCTAAATGCAGTTTTTGTTACCTATACAGTTTATTTTTCGTAATCTAGAACAAGACGTTTCTTCTTATCTTGTCTTTCATTTTGAGTAACTTCCGAATCAAACATAAATTTAGTCTTATCAAATGTTTAGTAGTCTTCAGCATAATTTAAAATTGGGCAATTAGACAGTCTCCCTTCTAAGTTCCTTCTCAGCCAAGCATGAAACTCAAAGTCGAAGGATGCGAGAAGGCTCCAATCTTGCTGCCATCATACCTTCCTTCTCGTTACCTATTTACGAGCGTATTTACCATGAAAAGTGGTCATATATATGCATACTACTTGTAACCAGAAAACTAAGCAAACAATGCTTCAACACTTTTTTCGAGCTTCATCACTGATACTTCCTGATACTAGCTATCGGTATACTTCTCAGGACCATATTTCACCTATGTTACGTTTCTCTCATGTATAAACTTCCCGTAGTCTCACGGTAGTTGGTAGTGACCTAATCATAACTTATAATAACGGGCTAAGGATGTTTACGTTTTTTTGTGTGTGTGTGTGTGTCTGTCTGTCCGTTACGAAATTCGAGGAGCGTGTTCCAGCCAACGTCCGGAGCCCAAATTTTGCATGGCGCATGCTAGCAGCGTGAAAGTCCAACATGCAAAAGCACGAGCAGATTCGTTGAGAGGATCCCTCAAAAATAGCGCTTCAAACGGATCCACTTGGCTTCTGGCCAGCAAAATTGGGCCTGTTCCACCACTTTTTGCGAAGTCATGGATATGATTAACAAGCTAATGTGCAAGCCACAGACCTTGGCTCGAAAAACTGAACTAAAGTTGATCACTTTACGAAAATGGCGCCGAGAAAATTAGTTGCGTGAATCTTCAATTTTCAAAGAATCTACCTGATCATTTGAGAAGATTTTTGCACCAAGATGTAGCCAACAGTGATCATCGTCGTTATGGCAACTACCAGAACATAAATAGTCCAAAAACCTATTCAAATTTGCATTTATTCCTCTCGGAAAGGTTTCGTCCACGCGAAAATACCGATCTCACACAAAAAAGCTCTCAGAATGAGTAGTTGCTTTCAATTTATTCGTGATAGCCTGCATAGTGCGGTGAGTTTCAATGTCGTTATTCTGCGGGAATGAGTAAGGCATGCAGAAAGTAGGGCCAGTGCGAGCCTCTGCGAAGCAGAGGTGATGCACTGGTATTTATATAAAATCATAAGCATAAAACAAAACTCCGAGACAAGAATATAAACTAATTTAGCTTGAATTGTTCTACATATTGATATGAAGCGATTGCACAAGAGTTGAACAGTTTCTGTATTGCGCCAAACGCTAAGAATGCAAAAAGCTCAGTCAAAGACTCCTTTATCGCTCAGAAATAGAGCCGTCCTTGGCCACGAATAGAGGAATGACATCCACCGTTCCTTAACGCAGTTCGATCGTACAGCAGGCAAGTAGATTAACAGCTGTGGCGGGTTTATCAGGCATAACTACCTCACGATTAATTTTTTTGGTAAAGGGGGTCGCCGTGGTTTCGGCTCGGTGGTAAAAGGGGGTGAACAATTTTTCGCACTATTGCACCCATGCTATTTCAATGAAACAGAATTCATTTATGAATTTATGAGATTTTTCAAAATAATTCCAAAAAATTCAAAGAAATTTGAATAATTGATTGATTGGACACCTTCATTGTATGCAAAGTACGATTCTGACATTTTGAGCTAAAGTTAGCACATCAATTCAAAGGATCAAAAGATAAAGGATTCGGCGTCATCAATATGTGGGCATGCGCCGAAGGCACACTACTTCATAGTCAAAGAGACAACTGTACGAGTGCGAGCCTAATACAGTGACTTGCGGGGGCCAGTTGTTTACCACTTCAGTGCTTTTATCCTCTCAGATACTCTGGTATCAATTTATCGGCCCCGGAGGGTAGAGGGCTTGGTTGGCCCAGGAAGAGGATCAAATCTGTGTTTGATCTGGTCATAGCGGTGCCCATACCACTACTCCACTCGTCCCCAACACATCAATTTAGGTTGAATAATTAGCACCTACTCCTTAAAAAAGTGTTCTTTCGCTATTTTTCGTTCAAGCAAATTTGTTAACTTGATTTCTTCAAATAGGAAAACTATGTCATCCCCCTTTCTAAGATCATGTAGTTACAAGCAATGTAATTAGTTTCAAAAATATTAAATCAAGCCCTCTGGTGTAGGTCAGATGAAACCTTCTTTTTAATCAGCAATGGTGAACATCAAAGGTTTTTTTTACAGCAAATGCAGTTCATGAAGAAAGTTTTCGATAATATCAAGAATATCAGAGTTGGAGTTGTAGTGATAGAAGGGCATTCCCGAGTAGTTTTCAGCATGAGCTGGTATGATGAAATCAAAAGCAAGATCGCGTAAGTTTTCTTCAAGATTGCCAAGTTTGAACACCGTAAAAAGCAAGAAACGAGCTGTTGCTCATTCAAACATTGTCAAACGGTTAGTGCTTTAAACTCCCAAGCACCCTCATTGATAATGACTTACGTATTCAGTCTTCGTGCAAATTCACATCAAATTCAATGATTTCTTTTCTTTCCTAGTTCCTCATGTAAAAAACATTAAGATGCTTCAAGCAAAAATTGAGCCATCTTAAAAACTCAAAAAAGAAACAGTACTCAAAAATGGAATTTCCAAAAAAAACAGCGGAAGAAGCAGGTTCCATTGAAAATCATAGCCCCCGCTATGGCCTGCTGCTTCAGTGAGGAGTAGGGATGACACTGGGCGTCAAATTGAATATACAGGCTAGTGTTTACTCTGGTTAGGCCTCCCAAGCTTAAAAGAGTTCGACCGATCCGGCTTCAGTCGAATGCCTAGCTAAGAGCAAGCCTGAACTGATCCCGCGCAGTCTAACTGTAGGTAAGCATCGCTGTTGGTCCAAGATCAGCGATTTTCCTGTGAATACAAGGGTACGGTCTGGTAAATCCGCTCTTGTCGGGAAAAGAGTTTCTTACTGGTTCTACAAAAAGAAAAGACGAAAAAATTCGTACGTCGGATCCTGCCTACGTAGCCGAGTAGTAGCAAAAATAATGGCTAATACTTAGAGCGCTTTCTGAAGCGGACATAGACGACACGTCATGGAGACTGCCTCCTGCTCATTTTCTGCAGACGCCAGAACAGTCTCCACAAATGCCATCCCACGATTCTCGCCGCTGCAGAGCCCATCAAGCACCACACCATCGCTCTGCAGGAGAAGAAAACGAAAAAGAAGTACTTGCGACGGTTGAGTTGTGGGCCCCTACCCCATCATTCGTGGTGAGAAAGTTCCACCACGAAACGTTGAAGGCGTTGGCTTTGTCGTCCAACCATCAACCGTCCACCTTGTCAATTCGCATGAGATCCTATCACCTCGACGCCGTCTTACGATCACGACCTCCACGTCAGAAGATCATCAGCATTATCAACTGCTACTCGCCAACATCAGCAGCTGATGATCTAGAACTAGATGCTTTCTATGAAGAGGTGGAGGAGGTCGTCCGCAACGAGAAGTTTCTCTACAAGTCTGGTGTAAGCGAGTTTGATGAGAATATCATGATGCCACAAGAAGGCGAATATAGGATTGGGAAGTTTGAATATGGGAATAATTGAATATGATTGAATATGATAATTGAATATGGGCTTTCGGAACGAACGAAAACGGCAACCGTCTTATTGGGCTTCTCTCCGCCGCATGACGCATTCGGAACGCACAACATCTACTTTCAATACTTTCCCCTCAGGTCATCGCTTTAGCCTTAGAGCGCGGCAGACACCACGAACTTAGCTATCCGCTATCTTTATCACGCTTCATACCTCCCAGTCACTAAGTTATGACCTGCTACGATGTGCTGAGATGTTTTTTTTTTCAAATCATAGAACACTGTTTTTTTGTTTTGCTGATGATTAGTTGTTTTGTTCTTAATTTGTGATCAATTCTGATATCACTCTTCATTTTGATGTAGCTACCAGCCATTAGAGGCTCAGGCTGAACTTCGCTACAATGTGATATCTACGTTTTTTGAAGTGTTCTATTTCTAGTAAGGGATAAACACAATTTATCTCATTATCTATGACAAATGCTGGATTAGCCTTGCCACGTCCGTTTCACTAAGCAAGTATATCCGTACTTCTATTTCTTTCGCATTCTCCGATCGGGCATGACAGGGAGTAATAGTCACAGATTATATGTCATCGGCTAGAGTTGTCAAACATTCACTAATCTCGTGTCTTTGTCATGAGGTCAGTACTGGTGATCTTTCCCTTGCTCGGTGTGCGGTTTCTTTGGGCAATGAAAGTAAAAAAAAGTACTACTATATCTATTGTCAAGTTCAGTATGTCAGAAGAAACAATTTAGCTCAGGAATCAAGTCAAATCTAAAATCAAAGCTTGCATATGAAACAATCTTTATTTATCTCATTTCGTTCACTGTGTTTATAACAGAGAATTGGCCGTATAACATAGTCAAAATAAGAAAAGTTTGTGTGTGCTGATTACTCTTGACTATTATCAGGACCTCCAGCAATATGTGTTGTCCCTCAGGCCATGCCGTAGGTTTCGATCACTTCATATCTTCAAATCTTTATAGTATGTACCTTCAACTCTTATCATATATTAGGTCTTTCCGAAAGTAATGTCGCTTTTTTCAAACGTATGTCACATCTCGTGGAACAAAGATGTGTAAGAGATTCTGGTAGCATTTGTTGCAGCATTTCATTCTCTTTCTAATGGTTATGAAGTTGTGGCAATATGCTCAATGAGCTTCCAGAAAAGAGTGAAAATCTGCGACCTATGCTTTTTGAGATGGCCAAGTTTCGCAATTTTTCTAAAATTTTATAACAAACCTCAGAAGGAATCCAAGTAATGGATGGATGGAGCAAACCCTACAGGAAACAACACAACTTTTTTCTACTTTCCAGAGCTCGTCATAATTTTTGTATAGATTTTTTGATGGAACCACCGAATTTTAGCATTCTCGCCTCAGCCACAAATGCATCACACACCAATAAATCTTCGATTTTGAAACTTACAAAGATGGAATATGGTTTGGCAACAATTTTACAAAGCAAATGAGCATTCACCGTTTCGGTTTAGCAACTTTCGAAAATTTCGGGTACACCTTGGGGTGCCTTGGAATAGTTGAATTATGATGATTTTACCTCGGAAAATTTGATGAGTCGGAAACAGAAAACGACCGCTAGAAAGAGGAGAAAAAGCTGCATCGAATGACACCCGAGTCGCTTGCCGGTTGTTGTTCTATGAGATTTGACTTGACTAAATATGGAATTTAGTGGCATTGAGAAATTGATTGTAGAAACTCTGAGAAGTAAGCTAAGGAAAAGAAAAAATTACTCTGTATTCTAAAGTGTTTGCCCTATCTACCTCCCACTTGTACTTTTTCGGAGATTAAGTACAAAAATTTAGAAAAATAGCCGAACTTGGCCATGGCAAAAAGTATGAGTCGCAGATTTTAATTTGGTAATTTTTCGAGAGCTCATTGAATATTACGCAATGAATTTACAACCTTTAAAAAAGGGATGAAATGCTGTATCGACTGCTCCTAAAATCGCTTGAAAATGTTGATTACACGAATAGTGGCGTTCATTCTAAAAAAGCGACATTACTTTTGGAACGACCTAATATATTCCCACTTCTGCCTTATAAAGCACCATTTTGTAATGATCTTAAAATGAATTTACGAGTTGCTTCTGTAAGAACGAGGTCTGTGTCCCAAGCGCTAGTTTTCTGCTTGAAAATTGTTAGAAATTGGTAGAATCAAGCAAAACCAGCTGATTGCAGCTTTGAGCAGCTGATCAGCGTCACTCTGCTGCAATCGCTATGCACTAAGTGCATTGCGTGCTACCGTTACGTATGAACATCCGGCGCTAGTGTTTCAAGCCATAGCGTCAAGTTCGTAATGTTTACCGCGCTCTAAGGCTAAAGCGATGACCTGGGGCGGAAGTATTGGAAGTAGATGTTGTGTATTCCGAAGATGTCCGGCCGCACGACTCTTCCATGGAATAAGTTTCCCTTTTGCTGTGGGGCCGATCGCGCCTCTTTGGAGCAATAGTGCGATTCAGTCAAAAGCTGGTAAAGAGGGTCGGCCGTAGCATTGTAAGAGGGAAGGAGCCCGTTTATGACGGTCAGGCTAAAGGAACTCATATCGATTCGTGACTGACCCAATCGAGTTGGACACCCAACGTACGGCTACGATTGGCTTTTGAAAGGATTGCGAGCCTGCGAAGAGGGTACCTTAATGGCTCGTTACAAAAACTTGGAACTCATGTTGAAGACTACCAAGGAGTAGGCAGGATCCGAATGGAATTCAGCGCGTGCGGCTGAAAGCTAACGCCAGTTGCAGAACAGCTGTGCAGGAGGATTTTCGAAAGTGAAGATAGACGCCAAAGAAGAGGACGTATACAGATGCAGAAAAGGATCTCCGCGAATATCACGTACCTCTGGCAGCGCTTCTAAACAGAAACGGAACTACGACTTCTTTCCCACAAATAATGGAAATCATCACAAAGTACTTCTACTCAACTTCTTCCGCTCGGTAACGCCCGTGCCAACGCCTTTGTTTCCACTGGAGAGAAAACCACGGGTTCTACTTGCTGAAGTGCGCACTGTGATATAGAGTATAAAGAACTGCACTGTCAAGACCCGCCCTCCACGTCGTCTTCTGCGAGCAGGAGAGCATCTTCTACAAAATATTCTCGCACTACATATAACGTCTTAAGGGCCGAGCATACTTCACGCAATTTCAGTCGCGACGCGATTCGGCACTTCGCCAGAAGTCTTCAGATTACACTAGCAAACTGCATATGCATAGTGCGTATAACTCAGATTACACTAGCAAACTGCATATGCATAGTGCGTATAACTTACGTAAAATGATAGAATGCCCTATCTTTTGTGCATTTGAGATGTGCTTACAATGAGTTATGGGCAGTTGGAATATTGCCAAATCGCGTTGCGACTACAATCGCGTGGAGTATGCCCGGCCCTTTACCTCCAAGTAAAGAATCCGAGAAATCCATTAAAACCGATGCCATCCTGTCTGTTATGAGTGGACCCAGCTTATGTGGTGACATTGGCTAGTTGCCACAAGTACTGTACAACTATGATGCAGCTATCACATCCCCAAAATTTAAAATGGGGAATGAGGTTCTACAAGGCAACACAATTTTTGCCAAAGCTGTCCAACGCGCGGTAGAGGGAGATGAAATTACCAGACTGGAACAAGAGGAACGTACGAGTTGATGGGAGATTTTTGTCGAACCTTTTTTTTGCGGACGAGATCGTTCTCCGAGCAGTGTAACTGGAGCAAAGACGATGCTGAAGGAACTAAACAATTTAGGAAAGAAGATCGGATTGCGAATAAATC